TCCGAATAGAGAAATAGTATAGTGAATAGAGTAGAGAATAGCGTTCCGTATAGTAATAGGGGATAAACTAGGAATAGCGATTGTTAGTCGTTGGCATCTTCCTACATATATGAGTTTCCTCTATGGTCACGTGGTCGACTTAATTCAATAATGGGATCGCCTGTTTGCTCACTGGAGATCTGTGTTCAAACTCAAGTGTCGGCAGTGACATTTTATTCCTATATAACAAAATGGCAGGAGTGTTGGAGCTCCAACCCAGGCATCAAACTGTATAGCATCAACCCCATCATACGAAAAACAGGAAACAGAAAGATAAGTTTGTGTTGACCAAACTAAAATTACACATAATCACCTACTAAACATGAAGAACCATCAATGTGCATTGCATGTCAAGAACAATACACAACAGAACACATTCTAGTGAATTGTGGATGTCTAAACCTAATTCAAATACAATATTATCGTTATCTTAAAAGAACATAAGATAATCCAATTCCTGAGGGAAGCCAGATTTTACATGAAATAATCTCAATCTTAAACATATTATTTTCCAATACTACTTGTAAAACTTTTTGCCCAAACTATGCCAAGTAAGAATAACTGCAAAAACATCCCACTCCCCACATTTATAAACAAATCGCAGTAGATGCATGCTGGGATTTCTTCCTGGACAATAAGATAGACCATGTCTCGGTCTCACCGCCATATCTTTCTTCTTTCTTGTCTTGAAGTCAGAATGCTGCGATCGCTTGTCTGTATCCCTTTTTGCATGTTAACACCATTCTTACTTTGTGAACTTTTGACCCTATTACTGTTGCTTAGTCTACTTTTGGCTTGCATATATTGTTTGCTTCGTATTACTTTTGCAATGTTCCTTTTTTTTTTTTGGGGGGGGGGGTAATTGCAAACTTCGTCAATTCTGCTTTTTGGGCATTTCTGCCAATTACATTTAACCATGGCCATTACTCTAAATTAATGATTAGAAACTTGACCAAGGATCGCCGATTAATGTTCGTGTCTCCCTACAAATTAGACATAATCTGGAAACTGAAAAAAGGAGGATACCGTCCTCCTTCGCGCCCACTCCTATCTCCATCATTGAATAGATAAGGTGATAGGAATATGTCAGGAGTGGTAGTAGTCGTAAGTTAGAATAATGCAACTATTCAACATAAACTGGACGATCAAGAGCAACAAATTTTAACACCCCCCTCTCCTAACAACTGACCAACAGCTTCTGTAAACAAATGACAAACTCGTTTGTATACATTTGACACGTTTCACTTATTTTGATTGATAAAGCGAAGAATATCATATCATCATAAAACTGGCAAGCGTGCTCAAGTTTCAAGTAAAAGTTACTTCCCTTGCTAGAGTTGTTTCCCTTGTTCCTTCGTTTGGCCATGTCCAGCAGTTCATTAGGTGCAGCTTATATGCGGTACAATTCCGCAAACATAGAGCACCCAGTAAGGATCTAACTCATTACTCAGGTGTAATTGAACTAACGAGACAAGTTTGTTAACCATTACACCACATCAAATTGCCTATCATGTCTAAAGAGTTCATCTACCGTAATGGCAAACCAACTTAAATTCATATGATTTTGAATATCTTTAGTTTATAAATTTATCACATTATTTTCTCTGCATTTATATATCATAAATCATTTGAATATTTGTATCATTGTAGCAAACCACCCTCATTCCCTTTATATTCCATTGGGGAAATGTAAGTTCCAATTGAGGAGTTACACTGTGGCACTGACTCCCAAGATGATGCTCCCCAATCACTACAATCTTAACCTGTTCAAGTCTAGTGTTAACCATTATCTTCCCCACATATCTGCAAAACCTTTGCCTCTTACTGTGTAACCCTCTACCTCGAGTGGCTCCAGGACTTTTTACAGGGTGAATGTCATTTAAAAAAAAAAAATCATGTAAAAAGTTATGATTCCACTAGGTATTATAGATTTCTAAGTTCTACAATGGGTGTGTTACAAATGTAGAAACTTTGTGGTCCAAAGTATGTGTAGTAAGTGAATGTATGTACGTGTATGTGTGTGTGTATGGTTTAATGTGTTTCCTATGGTGGGAAAAATGCAATCTTCTGCGAGAGACATACATTGTTGTTGTATAAAGTAAGAAGAGGGCGAGAAAAGATATCGCCAAGTATTTAGTGTTGGAGAGCGCCCCCTAGTAACAGTTTCGGAAATTAGGAGAAAATAACCTGACAAATATAAAAAGTGTTAAAGAGAAATTTATGAAAAAATGAGGGTCTATTTTCCTTAAATAAAATTTGTTATTAATTTTTCAATTAAGGCTAACAGTGTTTTTCCATTAAAAATATCAACAAATAAGCCTCCATTTCAAGCTGGGACATGCCTCTTAATTTGGAGAGGGACATGTTTCTTAGAAAATGGAAGAATTACAGATCTGAAGAACTGAGTTAATTCAAATAGTACTTGAGTTCTTGCGTCTTGTGGAGACCTGGCGGAATTTGAAACCTCCCCACCACAATACATAGCAACCTGTATAATTATTTCAATAGACATGCAGTTTCTGTCAATTTACAATCAACCAATCAGTTGCTTCATTCACTTCTTCCAAAAAGTGACATGACCTTTGGTGGATCATAAAATTGCTTCAGATATTAAAAGAAATAAAAAAGAAAAAAAAAGACTTTCAAATTTTTAAATTTTATTTTTAAATAAAAATATATAATTTTTGTTTTTTTTACAAAATTTGAAATCCAGGCCCACTTTTACTTTTTCTTCACACACAGAGAAAAAGGCACTGAATATGATCTCTCAAAAATTTCTATAGAAGCTATCACAGATACAAGGAGCATAATAACCCCATTGGATGGAGCAAGCTTTCAGCAAATAAACCCTATTTATCCGCATGGTCCCACCATTAGTTATGCATTTTAGCAGTGATAAACAAGGGCCTCCATATTACGGTTGTAAACGCAGCCTTTGACATATCTCACTATCACTACTGCCAAAATATATTACCCACCCTTTACTGTGATTATATCCATTGTTTGATCTGTCAACATTCATTGAATATCAATGAATGTTAATGGGTATAATTTTTCCAACATGGAGGACTTCAATGACATTTCTGTTTCATACACACTTTCCTGTCAGACACCATTTTTCCAGACTGCTATTTAACTGCTATCTGTAACAAGGCCAAAAATAAATTAATGGTAGGAGATTCTGTCTCTACTGTTATACAACCAACATTCACCTTTTATTATGTTAGCACACAATGTCAAATGAAAAGCATTATTTCCAGAGTGACTATATATATATATATATATATCATACCAATATACAGGCAGATGCAGACATGCAAGTGATATCAGAGTTGCCTCCTGAGAACATCATAACCACAGGCTGATAAGAAATCTTGTAGCTGCAATGACACACATACATATCACTTCTTTAGAAATTGCTTTGTTTACATTACGATACAAAACTGAGTAGGTATGAATGTTTCAAGAGTCTTTTATAATGTACTATTCAACTTTGCTTAATCTATGACACATTCCATAGCTGAGTTAGTCTAAAGTATGTCAGATCTAAAAACACTTTCTCCTGCCAAGAGGGACACAAGTTTGAATCCTGCCAGAGAGTGCATACATTTCTTTAATAAGATCTCTCAAATATTCAGACCAGTAGACAAAAATAAATAAATATACTCTCTAATAAATAAATGGACCATCTACTCAAATATGGGTATCCACAAAAAATAGTGTTTAAGCTGATAAAAAATATATTATCTATATATGATGGCAGCTTCCTCATTTTTGAGTATAGCCATCATTTGAAGCACTTCAGAATTAATTTAATCTGTGAGAAGCATGGATGTGACTCTCCAGGCCATCAAAATACTTTGTTATTCCTTTTTATGGAATTCCTCTTGTGTTTGTACAGGAGAAAAAAAAAGGTTGGTTCAAGACAATGCGGAAAGGGTCCACAGTTCATATCATTATCATCTGCACTTTCATCGGTCATCCTCAAAAATATGTTATTTGCCACAAAAAGATGACATAATGAACTCAGACTGATGTATTGGCGTTTTAATTAGAGATCATTATGGTTTGAAATTATAACATCAGAAGACGCCATTTGACAAACCAAGAAAATATATTTCATCATTAGTCATGTAACATGGATTTTGAAAAATTCATGTTAGATATTTTTTGATCATTGAAAATATTCAAAACACCATTTCCTAGACTAAGAGATTTGATTCAATATATTTTTTTAATTTTTATTTAAATACTTCAAAAATGTGTAGTCTTATTTGCAATCAATATTGCATAAGAGTCTTGTATTATCAACTATTATTGATCTCACATTGGCCAGAATATTTAAACTATCAAATTGTACTTTGGTCAATATCAAATAAAATGATGTTAAAATTATATATATATATATATATATATATATATATATATATATATATATATATATATATCATGCTAGCATCCTTCCCAACTAGTTTTCCCTAACAAGGCTAAAAGGCCCAGTTTCGCCTCCTGTTTCAAGATGGAGGAAGAAGAAATGGCTTCAGACACTTCCCAGGCATAAATGTAAACAAAATCAGCCAGAGTTTGAACCAAACTTATAGATTACATTTTCCTCACCAATAAACATGACACAAACAGCATTTCCCAACAATGGGTTATATAACTTCTGAATGATAACCTTTTCGAAAAAAAAACAACACATTCAGTATAATAATGTTTCGTCAAGAGATAAGCAGTTTTTTAGTCAGCCTGTACAAAAGGAGGGAAAGAAGAGTGTGTTGCAATAACCTTCCAACTGGTGAACACTGACCTGCCTTGAAAATCAGCATTCAAGAACATGATGCTTACCTGGATTTAAATAGCAACCCACTAGTCCTAGTGGTAAAACCAAGCAAGTCATAGTTATTATCGTTATTGATCAATTAAAAACAAAAAAAAAAATGTCCGCAGAAAGAATCTTATCAAGCAGACATCTGCTGAAGACATGCCAAATTCTGGTCAATAACTTCCAGTTTCCAAAGGTCTTCTGCTCCAGGAACACTGGCCAAGTCTTGGAGTTTGATTGCACGGACAATGGGGATTGGATTGTTCTTCACCAATTCTCCAATCACCATTCCATATTGATCTGTAAAAACAAAAGAGAATTAAAGAAATATAAGTTATGGATTTTATTCAAAGAAAATATCCAGAAAATATCTTTTAGTCTTTCTTCACGTGTATATATTTGTGGGCAGCCATTTTTACCACTATCCGTACCTCACTAAACCATTATTACCAATGTCCACACCTCTTTAGACAATCATCATTACCATACCTATTTTGCCAATTATTATATTACCAACAATTTACTTCAATTTCTTTTTATGAATTATATTCCTGAGAAAGATCAAGAAATGGGCCAGCCAAAACATTATGGTAACAATATGAAGGAAGACAAAAAAATGAGATCAGTTGTGTTAATAAAGGCTGGAATGTTAATAACTCTTTTGAAAGTTATTGAAATAAAGTTGCTTTGGATACTGACCTTTGTTTAACTGGACACACTGTGAAGGTAGTTTGTTACAATGAATGACTTGGACATCTCCAGTTCCATCATTTAAACTCAGAGAAGTACCATCTGAAGAAACCTAACAAAAGAAAGAAAATGAAAGGCAAAGATAATAGAATGAGTGGGTTACTCAGAAAATGGTCAGACAACAAATTGCATTTTATGCAAAATTATATAAAGTAGCATAACACCTTCACAGCAGGAGACATTTTGTTTTTTGTTGGTATGTGTCAGCCAAGAATAAAACAATAATTTATAAGAGAGGAAATAACACTGTTCATAATCAGGTATTAGTTTTGGCCAAGTGCAGAGGAAAATTGATAATAATATGAGATTCTCAAAAAGGCAATACAGAATTAATATTGTTTTGCATTCTAAAGTAGTAAAAATGAGCTGAACGTGTTGGGATATTTTACATTAAATTTATCAGAATCATGCAATGGATTTTCATAATGAACATATTGCTTGATAATTTTTATTTTTAAATTCAATTACTTTCCTGCCAATAATTTTTTTTTTAATTGTAGTCAATAATGGAGAAATGAAAATGATCAAATAACAAAGACGTTTGCCCGTTTCTTTTTTTGCTATAAATCAAATGAATTGCTGCTCTGCATCACATGTCAAAGACCAGAATTTATATTTCTTAAACATGTCGTAAAAAAGAAAACAAACAAAATCTTTATATTAATCTTTTCCTTCTTATTTTATACTGAATTTATTCATTTTCAGTTTTAGAGTTTGTTTTTAATATAAGCCTGCTACTTTGAGGAATATTATTATTTATTTTAACATTTTCAAACAAATCCCTTGTGTTGTTTGTTATAGGGTCAACATCAATGCATTTAGTCAAAAGGTATTTGTTTTTCTTTTTTTCAATAATTCCGAATGAGTGAGACTTATGTGTTCCATGTGTAGTCAGGATAGTACTACTTGTCTTTCTTTCAAGATTTTCTGGAACATTCTTACCATTCTTTTTTAAATTAGAATCATCCCAAACAAGACAGTAATGCTGCTAAAATACAAGGGGTTACAGGGTGTGAAAGAATTAGGAACAGAAACATTAATGATGAGAAGAGAGTAATCAGAACATTGCATTTAGATTTTTCCAGATTAAAGTTGGCTGGAAAGCATGGAGCCAGAAGAAAGTTCCACAAACTGAAGCATGAGAGAAGAAACTGTTAGCATAGAACTCATGGTTACATCTAGCCAGCTCAACTGTAAATTGATGAGATCTTGGTGCCATAGTCTAGGTACCATAACGAAGAGCTCGTTCAAACAATGACCACGAAAGTATTTATAGAAAAGACACTGAGAAGCAACCTTATGGCAGTGGGAAAGTGACTGGAACTGGGCTGCCAGATCAGGACCAATAATATTGCAGATTCTTCTTTGGATCTTCTAGATTCAATAGTACAGAGTTTGTTGTGAATATTATTGTATCAGTTTTGTTGTCAGTTTAGGTATGACGAGACACAGATTACAAACAGGTAGATTAACCCATTAGGGCCCAACTTAGGATCATGTATCACTTATAAAAATTAAAATAAAAATCCAGTATTAATTATCCAATTCTACATAGAACCCATTAATGTCCAGCATTCCATTGGTCAAGGACAAGCCTGAAGAGACAGGCACTTTATGAAAAGGGTTAGCAGATGTAGGCACTTGACAAATAAAAGGCCAGCAGTTGATAGCAGGTGAGACAATTGCCACTCTATTTACATTTAACATTACAGTATTATGGAGTTAAGTTAGGGACAAGTATTAATGACTTAAAGCATCTGGCTAAACATTAGCCTACCAAATGCTTCAAAATCATATTAAATAAATCAGAAGATATTTTAGTATTTTATGATTTATATTTGATGTACTTCTTTAAATAAACAATAAGGTTCACTTCCCCTCATAATGTTCTGATGATGAGTAAATAAACATTAAAATATCAATATCAATAACATGTTTTTGTTTGGTAATCATTTATCGATTGTTTACCAGCATGTTTTTCAGAGTCACTTTTATACTTTATGTCTGAATAGCATCTCGTGTATAATTCCACAATTTGTAGACATTTCAAATTTTAAAAGATATTTAAAATTAAATTTCTATTTATAAAACAGAATGTATCCTTTTTTTTATTGTTGGCTCTATTTCCCTTGTTGTTTATTCAGCCAATTATTTAAGAAGAGTCTTGAATTTTACTCATAATTTTAATTTTTTTTAAAGTAGTTTTGTGAAAATTCCTTTCATATTATACCAAATAGTTGCTTCCCTTAGAACTGGTATCCATAAAGTACAAGTCAGCCAGTAATGACAGATCAAAGTCCAGACTTACATCAGTGACTTTACCTTGGAGCCAGACAACAGCGAATTGCTGCTGTCGTCCACAACACTCATGGGCCCACATCTTTCCCTTCATCGTACTGGTCTGTTCAACAGGTTGGCATTCCTTCAGGTGCATCGCAAATATTTTCCAGGACGGCAGGGAGGAAACCTTGGCCATCTCGCAGATTTTTATGTTTCTGAAATTATATGTTATATATGAATAAAGACGAAAGGAAAACTTATCTTAACTGACATGTTTTGTCCTCTGTGGGACTTTTTCAAGGCAAATGCAAGGATTTTATTCTGTAATAAGTATTTATATACAAGAGCAAAAATGTTATTGGTTTTATAAAATTTTACATTTAGGGAATGCTCATAAATATTCATAAGATTAGCTGAAAAGTCATGCAAGCTATGAAGGAAACAAAGTGACACATTTCAATAAAAAAAAAGTGAGTAAGTGATGCTTTTGAAATATTTTTTTTTTTTTAAATGCAAATTAGTATCTAAATTATTTTCGTTTTAGACTAATTTATTTGTTATATGTTTTGAATAACATGAGGTTATGGATTTAACTGTTTTCGTTTAATTTTTTTAATTTTTTTTTTTAACATTTTTCTAGTCATGCATCTTAGCTTGAGAAAGGAGTAATTCTTTTAGGAATGGAAATATTCGAAAAAAAAAAAACTCCAGGTCACAGATTGATAATATTCAATAGCAGCAGTCTCAAAAAATTTCTTTCTAAGTTACTTTCTCTTTAAAGACATTCTTTTGTGGTTGAATTTAGTTCTATGTGTAACTAATGCATTTGATAAATTGTTGTGCATCAGATCCCTTTTGTGTTCATAGATATGTTTTTCTAAATTTCTACAAGTTTCCCCAATGTATTGTGAGGAACAATTTTGGCTTTTTATTTTATATATACCTGCTTCAGAATTATTATTGTTATGGGTATTTTTGTTCTGATCATATCAGGTATGGTTGTAGGGATGCTGAACATCAGACTAGCACCTGCTATGTTTCCGTAGGTAGTCATTTGTGTGTAACATATCTTGGCCAAAGTAAACCTAGTGTACTCCAAACTTCTCCAGGTCAGACCACAGTTGACAACCATTGATTCCATCAGAATAACCTTCTGCCCTGGCCATTGAATTCAGGCAGGGGAAGGCCTCCACCCAGCAATATCATGTCATCACTGCCAGTAGTTCAACCCCTGGTTTAGTCTGCAGTTGATTAAAACTAGTTGTAGTTATTGTCTATCAGCTGAACTCCTCGTTAATGTGTCATGACACATGGAATTGCAACATTAGGTTTATTCAATAAAATAATGAATCATGTTAATCGACAATTATTACAAGCATGAATTGGAGCTGGGATCAAAACTGAAAGTGATTTAGGGGTCAGTCTAAATAAATATGCTCGCTCCAACTCCAGTTTTAAAATATAAACTTATTATAAGACAATAAATTTTCATATTAAGCCCTATCAACATTAATAGCTTTTCAGATCACTTTAACATTGTTTAAACCCCTACAGTGGCTATTTGAATATATCTGACCAAGTGAACATCATTCCCCAGTCTAAGAGAGAGGATGTTTAAATTGACACCTTTTTTCTATATCTCTAAACAATTTCATCTTTTATTCTTTCCTTAATTCCCCCTACACCCAGTCTTGTCTCCCACTTTCACTTTCTGTAACTTTCTGTATACTAGTGGCACTCCCACCTTGCTTGGGGTTGAAATGATAAAAAATAAAAATAAAAGTATAAACTATAATAGTGGAAGTTAAAAATTTTCATCTGAAATCAAGAAAAATAAAAATTAAACAAAATTGTCACAATAAAAGTATTAAAGAAGGTGTCAGTTTAAACTGATGCCAGGAAGATAGAGGAAAACTAGGAAAAAACTAACATTTATTTATTTTATTAAGTTAAAGAATAATAATGCATTCATTTTTAAATTAATTATAAATACATAAATTTCTTTTTCTTTTTTTTACAGATTAGATTTAGTCTTTGCTATTATCTTTTAGTTTTAAAATATAAACAAAATTTAAGAGATTTATTGAGATAAGTTATTTAAAATACATTCATTTTTAAAATGTATTATTATCAAACTTGTCATGCCATATAAGTTCTTAGTTTCTCATTAGAGAGAGGATTAATGTTATATTTAAACTCCATATTTAAATTATATTTAGTAATAACCAGTCTGGAGTAGAAAATGTTAAAGGGATTATTTTTTTTTTTATAATCTTGTTTGACATTTTTTTACAACTATAAATCCATTCTATTAAAAAAAAAAAAAATCATGAGAACCCCAACTTTAAAAACTTACAATTTAATAAGAATCAAAATTTTTAATTACATTTCAATTTTCAAGAATAACAATTATTTTAGGTAAAAATGTAATTTTTCTATTTTAAATGTAAATCAGCAATTTGAAAAGACCCGTTCATGAAGTCGGCCATTTTTTTAGCTTTAAAAAATACTCCCAAGGCAATACTTCCCCAAGTACTAAAATATTAACCTCTTCAAGTCTTTGGTGAACTACATTCTATCCTTATAATCTACAATTTTTACAGCTATAAAAATAAAACATTCAGTAATCCTCTACTTTGTGGCTCTTAGGTCTTGTATTATGGGGTTAGGGTTTGGAAGAAGTACTAGTCTGCGGTATCTGGATAAACTACTAGATACCTCAACTTCACAAATAAAATCAGAGATATATTTTTTGCCATTCTGAGTTAGGGTGGGGGAGGTGATGCATTTTGGTTTCATTTGGTATCAATATGCAATAACAAGAAAATTTTGTTTATTTATAGAACAGAGATCAAGACATATTTTACATGACTATCAAAAATCCACAGTAATTGTAATCCTAAAATTTCTAAGTCCCCAGAATCTAAAACATTTTTTGTATCATTGGACGTTTTCATTAGTTAATACTTTCAGCTGTTGTAGCACAGTAAATAGTTTTTCAAATATCTTTCATTATTTTAGCATCCAAAACGTTTTTTGCATACCAAAATAATGAATTAGTTCTTTCATATTACAATACCTAGCTTCATATACTGACCACACACTCCTCTAGCAACCCTAAATAAAAAAAATAATAATTCAATTTCTTTGATTAATAATTTATAGAACAAAAATTAAAATAGGTCTGACTTAAGCCCTTTATTTTGGATATAAAAGGTTTTGCATCTGAAATAAAAATGAACAATAGTGTCTGAAATGCAATAATCTTTATAGAAATTCCAAAAGAAATAAAACTAATTCTTTTTTTTTTTTATTTTACTTAATTCTGTTTCATGAATTTTTATTTTTCTCAAAAGTTGAATTATATTTCACTTTTTATTTATTTATAGGAAAAAAATGTATTCTGAGATAATTTGATGTTTGGTATGTGAAAAATGTTTCAGACACCAAAATGAAAAATACTCAGTTTTTTTTTTTTTTTTTTATTTGCAAATTTTTAAAAAAATGTAGCATAGGCAAAAAAATCTCATTATTATCTGTTTAAATAAAATAATAAAAAAAAACACTCTCACAATTATCTTTTTAAATTTTCTTTTTTTAAATAGTACTCCCTTATTATTATCTTTTCTCGGAATAAGACGATCTCAAAATCTTAAGCCTAACAAAAATTTTAAGAAGCTTTTTCAATTTTAAATCAGCCAAATTATACTGTAATTGTCAATATAATTCATTCCAATCTCATAATATAAAAATAAAATCTATTTTTTTTTCCATTTCAGGATCTTTCTTAAAAAAAAAAGAAAAAAAAAAAGATTTGTGCACAGAATCCAAGATTGTCTAAAAATTCCAAGATGAAACATTACCATTTTTCATTCAAGTCTGTGACAGTATAATAGCATTTTTAGCTGAATCATTTCTTCGTTCAAAGAGGATCACAACAGACTGACAAAAAGTTTAATCTTTACTTCTACATTTTCTAACCAATAGAAACACTTGTAATGAACGCTTAATTTTTCAACTGAGCATAAAGGTTAGAGTTAAAAAATTAGTGGATCAAAAACAGGAAACTCGGAATTCTGTCAATATTTTATCCAATAAAAATGAACAACACATTTCATTAAAACATATTTCAACCAATTAGTTTTAATTGAAAATTAATTCTCAGTAAAATTTAATATTTGTTGAGCCACCAAATTATTATTAATATTATTAAAAACTTTTAAGTTACCAAAACCATTTTCGACAATCAATATTCAATAGTTTGTTTTTTTTTTAGTTTTTTTCAAAGTCATGAGAAATGCATTTTGAACGTCCCATAGACATTTCGTATATTTCCGTCTCATCAATTTTCAATCAATTTTTAACACGAAAAATGATTTTTTTACCAAACTCCATAGTGTGACAATCGTAAATAAATTCAATGAAAATGCATTCTTTTTTTTCTCATAAATACGGTACGTATGTATACGTGATACTTGGGACAATTCCCTTCCACCCACAAATTAAACTTATGTTACTTTTTCGGATCTTTAAAACCGAATAAAATCCCCAGAACGTACATTTTATTTACTACAGTGACACTAACTAAAAATGTGGCTGTGTTCATGAGATATTGAGCACTTTATTCAAAAAGTCAACGATAACCTACATTTGATTCGAATTGTATTTATTTCAATATATAACTTACTTAGTCGTTTACATTGTATGTAAACAAAATCGCTTATATAAACTAAACAGTAAAAATAACAAATACATTTATATTTTTTTAGTCAAACTTGATACCGATTGATCCAAATTTTATTTATGATAATGCTCGAAAAACAGTAGAAATAGAAAACAACAAAGATAAGGATACTATTCCGAATAATTCACATTATTTACATTGTTCGGACAGTTGTCCTTATCTTTATTGTCATATTCACAACGTTTCGGCTGTTGTACGCTCCAGCCTTCTTCAGGTGATTGAAATTTCGAACTTTGTCCACCGGGATTGATTGATCTCTAGGTGCAATGCATCTTCTGGGTGTCTAGGTTACCTCCCTTTAATTCAGCTCTCCAAGTTTTTTCTTCATCACTGCCGTAGCCAGGTATTGAACTCACAACTCTTCGGGTCAAGTCACTAGATCCAACCAACGAGACACGTGTCCGTAAGGACATCAGAGTAGTAATGTCTCAGTAACCATTTTTACCATATTGCAATTTTGTTGTTATTATTTCATTTTTTAATGTATTTTTTTACGAAGGCTCATATTGCAAGTTTGTTGTTAATGCATTTTTTACCAGAGCTCATATTGCAATTTTGTTATTATTGCTTTTCTGTAGCACACCTATTTCATTTCTGTTTTGCCGTCTTAGGAGATTTTTAATACCCTATCTTAGAGATATTCCGAATAATTTATTTTATTAAGATGTGGGTCTTTATTTTAATTAATAAGTGTATCGTCAAATAAATTAATAAATAAAAATAGCAAAAAAAAAAAATAGGTTTTTACGTGTTGGTACGTTTCCATGAAGCACGTGCCGGAAAAAAAATCAATGACTATTTTAAATTTTACATGAAATCAAATCATTTTTCTTCACAATCTTCAAATCAAACTAAATTGGAATTTGGTGCTACATAATCAACACAGATGAGAACATTTAAACTCGTTCAAAAAGCCGATTGTAAACATTAAACAATAATCGAGAAACTAAGAAAACCACTCCATTTTGGGGGGGGCTCAGAAAAAAAAATAATAACTACCTGATAAGAAGGGTCAGTTTATGCTGCAGGTTAAGATAAAATTGTAGCAGAGGTAGAAATGGAGGGAAAAGTAGAAAAAGATAAAACGTAAACAAAACTCTAAACTTGAGAGAGAAGATATCGTCAATGTTGGCAGCGTTTTAAAAGAGTCACGTGATATAAAATATTACCGAAGACTTCCGGTTTGTAAGATCGCTTCCTTGTGTTGTCGTTTGACTTGTGGAAATGTTCCGATCCGAGTTCGAATGCCGAAACCGGGTTTACTTTTTTTTTTCAATTTTCTTTCATAGCCAATTCCTGATTAATCGTTTCCTAAGCGAAAAGTGGGTTACGGTCCGACGTAAATTTGAACAATAAACATATTTTTTCCACTGGCATAAAAAAACTGAAGAAAGCTAAAATAAAAAAAAGTTTAAAACTAAAAAGTAAAAGAAAAGTAAAAAAAAACTTAAAATTTCACTTATTTTTTTTTTAGTTACTGTCTTAGACTTCCTAAAACAACGAAAAACGCATTTTTTTAAATTTCTCATTTGAAGTTAAACTTTGTTTATTAGTTTTAAAAGTAAAACTAGAAGAGACTAATGCGTAAAAAAAGAAAAATAAATTCACGTATTTTTATAATTTATTTAAAAAAGGATTTTATTTAAAAAAAAAAAAAAAAATTAGCATAGGGACCTCCACTTTTTCGGCAAAATGATTAGCACGATCACTCATCGAACCTCCATTAGACGAAAAATGAAAATAAATTTAAAATTATTTTTAAAATTCAATATTTGTCCTATTTAATTTGTGTCAAAGTAAATTTAAGAATTTATTAAATAATTAAATTTATTAACTGGATTTTGTAAAAAACACTAATTAATACTTACTTTTTGCTTTAAACAAAGCGAGAGTACTGTTTATTTTAACGCCCATGAGCTGTCACACAAGAAGGTCATATGTCAACAACAGTCGTCTCCTATTGTTACCACGAAAGTGCGCATAAAATTTTACGATAGATTAAAAAATCCTACAATCTAGCTAGAAATTGGTATTGAAAAATAAATTAAACCAATAATTTAAGAACATCATTTTTTTTTGTTATGAAACTTAGAGAATCAATTTTATTTTTCATACAAAGCAGTATAAAAAAATAATTATACATTAATTAAATGATGCTTTTTAGGAAACAAACTTTTCTGAGTTAAAACTGTTCTGCAACAAAGAAAATATAGAACTGAACATTAATCACAATTTATATAAATTTATTCTTTTGATTAAACAACTTTATGGGCAGCTACTAGAAAGTTCTCAGCCTGACCAAAAAAGAAGTTTTTTTTTTTACTGTCTGATCATTTGATCAGATTTGAGCAAGTAGGTTGGATAAGTACTTTTCAGCACCCCCTTATATCTTCTTTTGGATTTCTGCACAATGAAATACATTAATGAATTGATTAATATCAAATTAAATGTGTGTGTATATATATATATATATATATATATATATATATATATGTTGTATCCTTAAAGAAGGTTACAAACAGACAAAGGTGGTACTCAAGTGAAAGTAACAGCAACACAGGAAAGAAAGAGAGGTTTATTGTAGAAGAGAATACACTACTGAAAGACAGGGTATCAAATAGCAAGCTAGTAATTCCTGAAGCAAGTCTGCCAGGTATATCCTGTGCTTACTATACATATCTAATGACATACTCAGTCCACCTATGTGATAGGGAGTGTGGGACATTCTATTACAACAATATATATATATACACACACACACACACACACATCTAATTTGATATTAATCAATTCATATATGTGTGTGTGTATATATATATATATATTATATATATATATATATATATATATATATATATATATATATATATATGGTGCGATGGATAAGTTGTCGTCTAATTTATGCAAAAATGAAAATAATACTGACATGTCATTTTAACAGATATATTTACCAAAATTACACAAACTTAATCTTAAAATACTAAATAAATTTAGTAAATTCATTCAATAAAATTGCCATTGGCTTCAACCATGGCCTCCAGATGACTTTTGAATATTCTGCAACTCTTCTGGACAGTCTCCTTGTTTAAGTTGGTGAATGCTGCCATAATCCCTGCTTTAAGTTCATCTTCGGTGTTACAAAGAGTTTTGTTGGTCTCTCACTCAACTGCACCCCACACATAATAATCAAGGAGGTTGCAGTCTAGGGAGTTAGGTGGTTATGTGTAAGGGCTGATGTGGTCATAGAAACTGTCTGACAGCTATGACTGGGTTCTCCTGCATGCGTGGCATGATGCTAAGTCCTGTTGCCAGATATAGGGTCTTCCGGTAGCCACTCTCTTGACCTAGGGCAGCACTACCTCCTCAAGGCACTTGATGTAGGCCTCCATGTTGAGTCTGAGGCCCTCACTAACAAATTCTTTTCTTAACAGAACAATCAGTGAATTTTCCAAGCTGCCATACCTTCGTAATCACCATTAGACTCATCCAACTCTTTCCAAATGCTTTGCACTGTTCTCAGATTGACACCCAAACACTCTGAAATGTTCATATTGGAGATTCCGGGATGAATACCAAGCAGTACATACTGTTTTTGGATCTCTGATGGAGTAAATTGCATCATGATGCTCTTTTTCCTGCAGATGGTACCCAACTGACCCTACTATATTGTGCAGTTGACAAAAAACAAACAATGTGTATGTGCAAAATTAAAAATATAAAATGGCAACAATTTACCCATCGCACCCTGTATATATACATGACTTTGTGCAAGACTGTGGCAATCCTCACACCTGGAATCAATAGTAGCAGTTCATCCAATCTTGACAGTTCATGAATTGGCAGATTGTCTAATGTGTCATGTTCTGTTGATTTTGGTGTGACAAAAGTATTCTTTGACATCCTGTTGCTTTGGTTAAAATAGAATATCATCAATATCAGTAATGAGCAAAGTTTAACAAATGTATCTGCAAAATAAAGATGTGTGAAAAGGATGGAGTTTTGCTTGAGACTTCTATTACTATATATTGCCTTATTTTAAAATTTTAATAAAACGCAAGCATGAAACTGGATTTATAAATTTTCTTGTTTCTCTTGAGAATTGACAACAAAGATTTTAAACATTATTTATTTGATTTCTTATTTACAATAATAATTTTAGATTTGAAAGATTATAAAAATATTTGGACCAAATACAATATTTCTTATTTATCATATTAGAAATAAATAACTATGAAATAATTTTTTTTATTCTTAAATTTATAAAATTATCTATAAACAAAAGTACAAAAAAAATTAATAAAACACATAACAACAAATAACTGCAATGATAAATTTTAAAAAATTGCATTTTCCAAGCATTTCTTACATTTGCTCTCACCACATAAATTCACTAAAATAACTGAGAAAAACAATGCATAAATCAAGTTTTGAATTTATTACTAAAAATAGCTTTTTAAAATATTAATAATTGCATCAGGAGTATACAGTAAAGTGGTATCATGAGAAAAATAGTTCTTTTTTTGTTGGGGTGGGGTATGTTTGCTCAGTAATGACCCCAATACCTGCTTAGCATTCAATAATTTTTTGTCTCATAACAGTTGCTTTACCATTAACAAAAAATAACAAAAAAACATGGAGGTGACAAAACAATAAATGGAGATAAGTCATGGTTGGGATAAGTAAAGGAATGTTTTATTTCCCATGATTTACAAGGTTTGATCATTTTCTTGTTCCAAAGTATCATATATCAGTTTTTGGAGACTGAGAGTTTGTTCAAGGTATAACACAAGATAGTCAAGACAGATACATAAAACTATTTATAAAACAATTAGTAAACATTAATTTTTATGTAAATAGTTTTAACGTTTAAATATATGTAACCAAGTGAAGTTCCTGTTTGTGCATGGAAATGCCCTTTAGGAGGCATGTACACCCTTGTGCAAATTAACTGAAACAAAACAAAAAATTCCATTATTGTTTACTCTTTTTTCGAATGAAACATCACCCAGTGCACATGTTAGTACTTCATATCTCCATTTCACAAAGTCATTCCTTGCAAATTGATCGCAGATTCTCAATTGGATTTAAATCAGGAGAGCTTTCAAGCCAGTCTATAATACTTTGATTTGCTCATTGGTAAGACTTGCCAGTGTGTTCGTGCAACGTTACAGTTTTTGTATGCTTCCTTGGAGTAACACCCATTGCAGACAATGGCTGTAGGACAACCAATTGACAGTCATACACCCCGAAAATAGATTAATATTACTGCACACCACTGCAAATGACCTAATGTAAGGAAAAATAGAAATCAATTACGCCCTGTCACTTTAGTGGGTTTAAAACTGACTATATGTTGAAAGAAAAGAAACTAAAGTGGTTGTTTCAATTAATTTGCAGAAGGTTGTAACATTAAAATGAATTAAAGCAGATGAAAAAAATCATGAAGAAAGGTTAGAGTGAACTGAGACGGAAAATGGAAAAATGAATTAAGAATCTTATTTAGAACCCATAAGTAAATGGAGAAGCACCTCAGACTACACAACTGCCCATACCATCAGCAGTGTCACCTTCAGCCAGCGATGAAACCAGTAGCAAAGACTAACTCGACTATCTCACTCGACTACATATGTGTGTTGATTTTCTCCATGTATCTGTCTTGACTAATATATGATTAATTCAAAATATACTCTAAACTAAAATTTGCTAAAAATTACACAATATTGATGCAATTCTAATCAAAATACCATTTTAAATATATTTGTTATTTAAGGCTGGAAAATAAGCTAATTTCTTAAAAAATATAAATTTAGTTTTAGAAAAGACCAGTGATAGAATTAATTGATTCATTCATTTTTTACAGCTTATCAACACTTTGTAGGTTATTTAAAGCCTGAAAATATTTTTAGATTGCAAGGATTTTTTGGGAGATAATAATGATTTAGTGATATAAGTCTTCCTAATTATTCTTTTCTGGTAGGAGAAGAAGTGGGTTCATACATTTCCCAAGGGTATTTGAGCATAA